AACAAGGACATACTGTTGATTAACGTAACTGCAGAGTTGCAAAACTGTTGACAACACAGACAACAGATTTCTTGCAACACCATCCAGTCATAGTGCCTACAGCATTATTCAAAAGGGACTTTTGATCTAAGATTTTTCGTTAACAATTAACTGAAATAACAATCTCTACCTTACCTTAACCAAAGTGGTTTTGTTGCAGGAGTCTGGGTGTGAACTTGGACTGTATTGTGATGATCTTGTACTTTGTTGTCACCACAATGTAATTACAAAAACAATGTAGTCATATATGTACACATAAAGTTGCCTTCAATTTAGAGTCATGTTTGTGTCCACCCGATGAGTCCGATGGTGACAAGGGAACATATGCAGCGTCATATTTTGAAGCAGATTGCCACTGACCAAGCTGCAGTATTTGACGACTTGGGAACCAGACTGGGTTGGCCAATCAGCATCACGGCTTACTGCATTTTCATGAATATTCTTCACAAAATGCTTCTTGCTTATTACTTAATATTCCTCATGTCACCTTGATGTGTGTCCATGAGTATGTGATGTAAAGGGTTTGAAGAAGGGGAGGACTGCTGGTTTCACCTCTTTTTCTTTAGCCCTTGAATCAGTTTTCAATGGTTTTTTTTCTGAATAAAAGCACTGATGCAGTGGAATAAATCTTCCAATCTTGGCTCTCCCTTAATTCTTCTTGGCAAATACAGCCAGCGTCATCATTCATAAGCACAATAGCTTGTTTTCAAATGAAACTAGCTACTTTCTCTGCTAAAATATTAGCTGCTCTATTGTCTAGAGCCACAGAGCGCCCTCTCTATAATAGTTTTATACCCTGAACTAGATGGATGGTATTTCTGCCATCTAAGATTGTTCATTCAAACTGAGCTCACACAAAAAAAAAACAGAATTTGGGGGAAGTGAAGCAGGAGATGAATAATGAATCAAAAAGGACAGACATCTGCAAGTTCCATGCAATTAGAAACTAAAATTACACACCAGTGCTCACTAATTTAACACAAATTATTAATTGTGTTATGAATATATCTATTATTAATAAAAATGGCGAGGGGCATATAGGAGATGAAACGCCCTCAAATATCATTTCAGCCTAGAAACCACTATTTCAACTCCAAGCCCCTTTTCCTGTGTTCATGCAGCATATTTCCACTAATTAACTAAATCCATGACTCCATGTTGTATTTTCCACAGTGAAGTCTTTTATGGAGGAAGTCTCCAGAGATTTGAACTGTAACCTGCAGTGCAATCCGATGTAACAGCCCTGTAATGAACTTGGTGAAGCTTCTAAAGTTGTGTTTTTGTTGAGACTCTCTCAGGGAGGTATGGATTCAACGATTCAACTCCATTGTCTCCAGGAGTTTTGAGCCTGTACATTGTGGCGCTGTTACTATGGATAATATTTATGTTATATTAAATGTATGGGGTGGGGGTCGAGTAGGGATCTGGGTTATAAAACAGTTAAAACAGATAACATTGATATTAGTCAATTCTGCAGATTACGCTCCATGACTTTTTTTTTATGTTCAATGCCAAGAGTTTTAAGATTACTTGCCCATGGTCCAAACGTACTACAAGGAGTTTTTAACAGCTTATGAAACTCACAGTATTTTAATTTTAACACTGATCGTAAATGGTAAATGGACCTATACT